TCTGATTCTCTCTCTCGCTCTTTTCATTCCTTTCATTAGCCTCTTACGGGGTCATGGATGAGGCCCTGTCGGCCAGCCTGAGGTAGCAGCCATCGGAGGCCCACCCTAGGGAAAAAGCATGTGTTATCCCTCTCCCTCCCATCCAGCTCCAGTCAAAAGTTCAAAGCCGTGCCTTTAAAACAGAGAGTGGTGTGTGTGCTGGCTCCCCTCCCATGCAGGGTCACAGCTTGGCTGGAGTTGGAGCTGGGGAGATGAGAGGGCCGGGCGGCCGGGGGGAGGCGATGGTTCTCACATGAAAGCTCTGCAGCCGAGGAGAGAGTCCCAGACCCAGACACAACACAAGGGATCAGACTGGCCCCCCCATCCCCCTTAGCCGCAACACTTCCCACCAAAGAACAGCTGGAATGTGACCTGTTCCAGAACCAAGGCCAGGACTGACTGACAATAGAATCCATCGGGATTGGGGGTGGGATCGCTCTTCTATCATAAACTATGTCCCTCCTTATCAAAGCCCGGTCAAAAACTTCTCACAAAGACCACATACTATACAAGCGGAAAGTTTTGCCAACATGAACAATGATGTAGATGACACTTTAAACGGGAGTTTGAGATGCTAATGAACAGAGCTGTAACTACATGGTTAGAAATAGAAATAAAAGTTACAAAAGTTGTCCATGGTGTTACTTAAAGGTACAACAGCACCTTTGGAAAAAGTACCACCTCAGTGACTGTTTGTACATTTATTTCTGAGGGTATACTACAGATGACTTTAAGGCATATTCAGATTAGTGCCAAACCGTTCCAGATTCAAGGCCAGGACTGACTGACTGACTGACTGACAATAGACTTCATCAGGATTGGGGGTGGGATTGCTCTTCTATCTTAAAGTATGTCCCTCCTTATCAACGTACGTTCAAAAATGTCTCACAAAGACCACATACTACGCTAGCGGAAAGTTTTGCAAACAAGAACAGTGATGTAGATGACATTTCAAAGACAGGTTTGAGAGGCTAATCAACTGTAACTACATGGTTAGGAATGGTAATAAAAGTTACAGGAGCTGTCACTGGGTTGGTCCAAAGTGTTACCTAAAAGTACAACAGCACCTTTGAAAAAGGTACCACCACAGTGACAGTGTTTGTACATTTATTTCTGAGAGTATACTATAGATGACTTTTAAGGGATGTTCAGATTAGTGCCCGACTGTTCCAGATTCAACGCCAGGACTGACTGACAATAGAATCCATCAGGATTGGGGGTGGGATCACTCTTCTATCATAAACTATGTCCCTCCTTATCAAAGCCCGGTCAAAAACGTCTCACAAAGACCACATACTACGCAAGCGGAAAGTTTTGCAAACAAGAACAATGATGTAGATGACATTTTAAACGTGTTGAGATGCTGATCAACAGAGCTGTAGCTACATGGTTGGAAAAAGAAATAAAAGTTACAAAAGTTGTCCATAGTGTTACCTAAAAGTACAACAGCACTTTTGGAACAGGTTACCACCACAGTGACAGTGTTTGTACATTTATTTCTGAGAGCATACTATAGATGACTTTAAGGGATGTTCAGAATAGGGCAAACTGTTCCAGATTTTGGGCCAGGATTGAATGACAATAGAATCCTTCAGGATTGGGGGTGGGATCGTTGTTCAACCATAAAGTATGTTCCCCCTTATCAAAGCCAGCTCAAAAACATCTCACAGACACCACGCAAGCTTGCTTGTATAATTTGTGGACAATTTGTATACAGATGACAACTTAACTTAGTTTTTGATGCTAATCAACAGAGCCACATTATCACAAATAGAAATAAAAATGACAAAAGCTGTCACTGGGTTGGTATCATACGGTCCATAGTGTTACCTAAAAGTACAACAGCACCTTTTGAAGAGGTACCACCTAAGTGACAGTTTTTGTACACTTATTTCTGAAAGTGTACTATAGATGACATTGAGATATTCAGATTTTTGCCCAACTGTTCAATAGAATCCATCATGATTGGAGGTGGGATTGATATCATACAGTATGTCCCTCCTTATCAAAGCCCAACATCTCACAAAGATGCAAGCTTGCTTGTATAACCTGTGGAACGTTTTTATGTAGCTGAAATTTTAAATGAGTTTGAGATGCTAAGAAACAGAGCTGTAACTATATGGTTTGAAATAAAAGTTTCAAAAGCTGTGACTGGGTTAGTATTTTAGGGTGCGTAGTGTTGCCTGAAAGTAAAACAGCCACTTCAGTGATAGTTTTTGTACATTCATTTCAGAGAGTGTACTATAGATGACTTAAGGCACAGGTGTCAAACTCAGTTCCAAAAGGGCCGCAGCTCTGCACAGTTTAGTTCCAACCCTTATTAAACACACCTGATCAAACTAATTGAGTCCTTCAGGCTTGTTTGAAACCTACAGGTGTGTTGGAGCAGGGTTGGAACTAAACTGTGCAGGGCTTCAGCCCTCCAGGAATTGAGTTTGACACCCCTGACTTAAGGGATATTCAGATTAGTGCCCGACTGTTCCAGATTGCAGGCCAGGACTGACTGACAATAAAATCCATCAGGATTGGGGTGGGATCGCTCTTCTATTATAAAGTATGCCCCTACTTATCAAAGCACATTTTAAAAAAAAGTCTCTCAGAGACCACACACTACTGAAGCTTGCAAGTACTGTATATCTTGTGGAAAGGATCTCAAACAAGAATAATGCCTGGGTTTTATTGGAAATGTCTTTAATGGTCTCTCTGGTGTTTCATAAACATTAAATGCATTTCAGCTGTTCATAAAATAATAGTTATAATCTCATTATATGTTTGCCATTGTATGGTTTGACAAAGAAAACAACAAAAACAACATGTAACATACTTTGTAAAGTACATAGGACTACCTTTGTTTCAATTTATGGTAGTAATGCATAAATAGACGGGACAACGGACAATGATTACAGCACAAAAGACTATGAATTAAAATAAGGTGCAATAGTATTTAACATGTCATGTTTTTTACTTTAAGAATGACATGGCTTCATAATTAAAGTTGAAGTGTGTAATTTTCTCGCCACAACCTGAAATGAAAGTTTCCTGATCGTTCCCATATTCGTCAGACAAATAAATCCTACAAGGATTTTGCAGTACTGGTTGAACAAATGTTATTGTACTTGAACAATCTAGCATTGTGAACTCTAAATTGTTTGCTTAGAATTTCAGCGGCATGTTAAGATGGTGTTTATTCTGCCTATTCTGAAAAAAAAACTACACACTTCAGCTTTAATTAAATCCTCACAAGGCATAAATAAAGTTTTAGGTTAGTAATATTTAACCATTGGTTTCCACTGAAAGTTAAAGTTCAGTGACTGCCTGCAAGGCATTTCTTTTGAGACAGTTAGAAAGAGTTAAATACTACATTTGTGGCTTTTTAGTCAAACCAAAATAACTGGACTTACATTACGACATGTAGATGTAAATAAGGTAATACTTTCATAGGAAATCAGCTAGCATATACGTATGCCTGTGTGTCATACAGTGTAATTCACATATTTAATCTCTCCTTGGATAATTCAAGCAGCTCCATGCTGTGTCAGAAGCATGAGATATGATTGTAGAATCTACAAGTCAAGTTTTTAAGTGAGCCTGTTTCAAGAAGAAATACAGGTACAAGAGGCAGGCACGTTGGTTTAGGATGTTCAAAACTGCTCCTGGAGGCCTGCTGATCTGCAGTTTCAGTACACCTATCTACCTAATCAATCTGAGGACCCCAAGTTGTGCTTTTAAAAAAGTGTAGCTAAACTCTGAGGAACACTGGCCTTTCAGAAACAGGTTTGGATACCCCTTGTTTAAGACAAGGGTGTCCGATACTGCTCCTGAGGGGCTGCTAGTCTGCAGTTTATCATGCATTTAAGTCATGTTGGATAAATTGTATTTACGAGTTGAATGCATATGAACACCACAAAGTTGTTATTATGAGTGGGAAACTTACAGTTTTCTTTAAAGGTGCAGCATGTCAGATTAAACTAGGTCTAGCAGTCCAAATTCAAAATATTGGAGAGGTTAATTGTAATCCGGCCCCTCCACTAACAACTCTACGCATAGCGGATTGACGATACCAACAGGAGTGGCGTGCTTTTCAATTAAGCCTTGTGCTGTAAGCTGCTCAGCTCATGTTTACATCGGTAATATTTGAAATATTTGCTAATTTAAAACCACCTCATGTGGATTTCCATAGCTCTAAATCTGCATCTCATTTTGGAGGCTGTTATTAGGCCCTTTCACACATACACACCTTTCCGGAAGATTACCGGCAATTTTCCGGAAAGGTGTGTATGTGTGAACAGGCCCTTTTTGAAAATACCGGTAAATTCGTTCTGGCTATTTTCCGGAAAGAGAAGTTGTAACATTACTGGTAATTTGCCGGAATGCGTCGCTGTGTGAATGCAGAAGGAAGATTGCTGGAAAGATCGCGTGCACGTCTAGAATGTGCTGACGTGAGACGTCTGCTATAGCCAATCAGAACAATCAGACAAATTAACTTCCGCGCGGTTTATGAAAATAAAATCCTTTGAAAATTTTACCAGACATATTGAGCTGCTGGATGTTAGTCAGATAACGCTTATATGTTCATCTTAATGCCAATCGTGTAAATAATTATCGATAAGATGATTATGATAAGCCATTGTTTGTTTACCTTCAAGCTTTGCGTGTGCCCTTGACACAGCACGTGAGCGCCAGCACACACAAATATCATGTACATCTTGACATGCGAAAGTGTTTCTCTATGTGTTTTCATTGGAGTTGTTCTCAATACTGATCCATCCACAGAGTTTGTGATGTAGTCAAATGTTTACAAATACAAGCGCAGCCATTTAGAGCTCATTTCTGGTTGATGATGTCAGAATTTTCCGATATTTTGGAATGGATGTGTGAATGCTCTTTTCCGGAAAAATTCCGTAACGTCCTTGCCTGTGTGAACAGCACTTTTTTAAATTTACTGGTAAAGTCGTTTTCCAGATATTTACTAGTATCAGTGTGTGAAAGGGGCTATTGTCAATTGGAGGTCGCATCAATATTTAAAAAATAATAATTTAAGAGCTAAACTCTAGAGGTACACCGGCCCTCCAGAAACAGGTATGGATACCTCTGATTTAAGACAAGAGTGTCCAACACTGCTCCTGAAGGATCATCTTCTTTAGAACTTAACTTTAGACCTGAAGTTATTCAAGGTCTTCAGGGTCACTACAAGCCCAAAGGCGGGCGTATTGGAGCTAAAAAAAAAGGGGAAAATACACTCCAGAAGCAGCATCTGACAACCCTCCTCTAGGGTGTCCAGAGATTCGGGAATTGTAATGTCCTAGTACTTTGTGCTGCCGAACTCCTTCAAAATGTCACAAGTCTTTTTGTTGACGATCTCACGGAGTTTGCGAACACGCCGCACACTGGAAGTGGCAACGAAGCTGTCGGGCTGAAGCACGGCCATCCCATTGTGAACATCCCCCATGATGATCATCTGTCCCTCGGCTCTCGTTATGTTCGGACAGGGACAGTTCCAGTCCATGTTGAGCAGTGTGACCTCCAGAGGCTCTTGCCCAAAGAATCGCAGCCCCATCTTCTCATCCTTCAAGATCTCCTCCACCGTGATGAGGGCATGTCCAGAGTCGTGATCTTCCGTCAACTCTGAAATGCGACCCAAAACCACAAAGTCACTCTTGCAGAAGCTGGGGACCATCTTCTGCCGGGGTTTGCACTGCTTGCAGTTGTGGGTCTTGGGAAATGGGCACATCTCTTCACAAGCTTCCTTGCTCTCGAAGTTATTCTCGTTTCCGCCGCAGCCTCCATAAACAAATGACTGGCATTTTTTGAGTGCATGGCTGTAAGCCCAGCGTGGCTTGTAAGCCTTGCAAGGACCTTGCACACTAGGCAGGGAGCAAGGTGCCGCGAGCTCCGCTCCACAGGACAGCATGCACGAATCATAGGCATCAAAATGGTTTCGGTTTTTGTTGCACTGGCTGTACGTGAAGGTGAAGCAGTTGTTGCGCTTGGCTTCATAGTACCATCTCATACTCTCCTCTCCGCAGTCATCCATGTCCGGTGCTTTCAGGCACTCTTCAGCAGGTAGACGAGTGGAATTCATCACCAGCACTGGTTTGAGTTGCTCCCTAGGGACTACAGAAAGGGGGAAATGTGCTTGCACGGACCCGCCCTGGTTTGTGGCAGTGCAGGTGTATATACCTGCATCCTGAACCTGAGCGTTGTATATGACCAGCTGGCCGATGTTAGTTACTACTATGTTTCCTTGCATGTGGTTGGGTCTCATCACAGTATTCTCTTTACCTTCGATCTGCTTTTCCCATGTAATTGCTGGCTTTGGTTTTCCCGTCACCTCACAGAGGAAGCTGGCCGTTTCGCCCACAAAAACAAAGTGGTGTGCTGGTTTGCTGAGCATGGCAGGACGTTGAATGTCCATGGGAGTAGTTATGGGATGGGCAGTGGTGGGCCGGGCAGTGGTTTCCACTGGGAGAGGGCTGGTATTAGACAAGCTAAAGTGATACCTGCAGGTGACTTCAGTGAGAGTGATGCCCCTGGTGCAAGCCTCAGCATCCATGTAACACTTGTTATAGTAAGTCATGCCATCTGAGGCGCAGGTGAAAAAGGGCTCCCGTCCGCAACGGTCCTTGCACTTGCATACTGGTTGTCCATCCCAGATTTCACACTCCGAACCCTGCTGGGTGCACATAAACTTGTCACAGGTGACCCCTTTGGGCATTCCCATTGGACCTTTCCTGCCCTGAATGTCCATGTATCGGGCGGCCACACAACTCTTGAGTCCACAAACATTTGAACAGCATTTCTCAAACGGCTCACAGTCCTGGAGGTACAAATGAGATTTCATGAGAAGCGTGCTTAAAGTTTGTTGAAGTTATTGGCATGCATGAGATTCCTGTTTGATTAAGTTTAACTTTTTCAGTGTTGGCATAAACTAGAAGGCTTAATGTGTATTTTTCCAATGAATTAGACATTTTCCAGTGCCACTGTTTACGGTCTTTACAACGATGACAACACAATGTGTTCAGATGATCAGATATTTTTAGAACAACATATATTCATAAGAATATGCAGATGACTGAGAATTAATGTGTATTTATTCAAATCAATTACAGATGTTTTTGTGGCATATTGAAATCGACATTTCCCAACATTAAATTTGGTGTTTAATAGACGTCTAATAGACTTCTAAATGTAGACAGCTTAGCTAAAACAAGGCTTAACTTGGGCTGTCAGTGAAAATCTAATAGACATCTAAGAATAGCCCAAAACTAGACTAGTCATCAAATAAACAGATTAGACAGACTTTATATGTGTAGTCATTCATTTCTGTTTATTTGATGACTAGACTAGTTTTGGCCTATTCTTAGATGTCCATTAGATTTTCACTGACTGCCCAAATTAAGCCTTGTTTTAGCAAGATGACTATGTTTAGACATCTATTAGACATCTTTAGACATCTTTTAAAAACAAAAACACAATGAATTCAGATGATCAGATATTTTTAGAACAATATTTTCATATGAATATGCAGATGACTAGAAATTAATGTGCATTTTTTAAAATCAGTTACTGAAGTTATTGCATGAGATGGACATTTTTTTATGTCACAGACAGTGACAGTTGTCGTTTTTTCTACAATTACAACAAAATGTATACATAAAAAGTATTCAGATGATCAAGGACTGTGTTATAGCATAGGCTAGAACAAAAATAGCTTAGTTAAATAATAAAAAAATTACTGTGAAATTCATTTAGAAAATATTGTAGAATTTTTCTTTTTTTTTTCAATTTAATTTCAGATGTTATTATAGCATATTGAAATCGATATTTCCCAGCAAACAATGTTGTGTTCAATAGACATTTAAACATAGACAGCTTGGCTAAAACAAGGCGAAACTTGGGCTGTCAGTGAAAATCTAATAGACATCCAAGAATAGCCCAAATCTAGACTAATCGTCAAATATACAGATTAGACAGACTTTATATATGTAGTCATTTATTTCTGTTTACTTGATGACTAGTCTAGTTTTGGCCTATTCTTAGCGCCTATTAGATTTTCACTGACAGCCCAAATTTAGCTTTATTTTACCCAAGACGACTATGTTTAGATTACTATTAGACATCTATTAGACATCTTTTAAAAACTGGGATTCTGTTGTCAGAGTGACTTTTTTTTCCTCAACATGTGATTCGATGGATTTGCTCTTCAGTGTTTGGACTCCACACTGAACTGAGCTAAACTGAACTGAACTACACTGTTTCCATTTACTATGATCTTCTATGTGGAGTTGCTTTGACACAATCTACATTGTAAAAGCGCTGTACAAATAAAGGTGAATTGAATTGAATTGATTCATAATGAAGAGGCAAATAATCTTGAGATGTGAGATGCCATTGTATAGAATTATTGAGGCTTTTTTTTTTTTAAAGATGCAGCTAAGAGGATTCACAGAATCACAGATTTCATTACTTATTAGAATTTGAAATTCTGACATTCAAAAAAAATTAAGCTTTTATCCTTACAACTTGCCAAACATGTTAATTCAAATAAAACATGTATCATTCCTTTATTTTTTTATTTTTTGCTTAGTCCCTTTATTAATCTGTGGTCGCCACAGCGGAATGAACCGCCAACTTATCCAGCATCTGTTTTACGCAGCGGATGCCTTTCCAACCCAGCAATGGGAAACACCCATTCACTCTCATTCACACACATTATGGCCAATTTAGCTTACCCAATTCACCTACACGGCATGTCTTTGGACTGTGTGGGAAACCGGAGCACCCGGAGGAAACCCACACGAACATGGGGATAACATGCAAACTCCACACAGAAATGCCAACTGACCCAGCCGAGGCTTGAACCAGCGACCTTCTTGCTGTTAGGCGATCATGCTACCCACTGCACCACTGTGACGCCTTGTAAAAGATTTATTAATAAAATAATACATAACTCCACCCTTCATTTGTAAATGTTCTGTCACATTTTTTGAAGACAGGGGTAGCTAATACACTAATTGGCCTACACTGTCAACATTATTTGATAAACAAATCATAACAACATATGACAACTTTTAATAACTTTTAATGTTAAGTTAAAATCACTGATACGGTTCACTTGCTTCAACTTAAAAATTTAAGGCACAGCAATTTGTAACTATAAAATGAACTGTAAACATTAAGCACAGACACGCATACAGTTGAAGTCAGAATTATTAGCCCCCCTTTGATTTTTTTTTCTTTTTTTTTTTTTATATTTCCCAAATTATGTTTAACGGCGCAAGGAAATTTTCACACTATATCTGATAATATTTTTTTTCTCCTGGAGAAAGTCCTGTTTGTTTTAATTCAGCTAGGATAAAAGTTGTTTTTAATTTTTTATAAACCATTTTAAGCTCAAAATTATTAGCCCCTTTAGCTAACTTTTTTTTTCCGACCGTCCACAGAAGAAACCATCGATATACAATAACTTGCCTAATTACCCTATCCTGCCTAGTTACCCTAATTAACCCAGTTAAGCCTTTAATTGTCACTTTAAGCTCTATAGAAGGGTCTTTAAAAAAAAAATCTAGTCAAATATTATTTACTGTCATCATGGCAAAGATAAAATAAATCAGTTATTTAAACTGAGTTATTAAAACTATTATGTTTAGAAATGTTTAAAAAATCTCTCCATTAAACAGAAATTGCGAAAACAAATAAACAGGGGGGCTAATAATTCAGTGGGGCTAATAATTCTGACTTCAACAGTATTTACAATGCTCAGCATAATTGAGTACATCCCATTTTGAAAATGAATATTTGTATCCATTTCTCAGTGAATATAGGTCATATATTTTGGTGCATTTAAACAAAACAGATTTACAAACTGATATATTGATTAAAATAATATTTTAGTCACCAAACATATAATTGAAAGATAATACAACTAAATTCAAGCAAAATATTGATATATATATATATATATATATATATATATATATATATATATATATATATATATATATATATATATATATACTAACTACAAAATTTCAACTAAATTTTTCTTTTTTTGCTTCTTTTGATTTTTCCTTTTTTTTTCTTTACATTTGTATTTAATATTTTTCTATGACATCTAAATTTGGGTGCACTAGTTTTTGGACTGTTGTTGTAAGTTATTTTGTTAGATAAGCTCCAGATTTGGCTTCAGTAATGACTAATCTAATGTATATGCACAAATATATTATTGTATTACTTCCTATTACAGGTATGAATTTAAAAGATAGATTTGTGAGGATTGTACTTACATTTGCACTGTACATAAATACATTTAGATAATAAATTCAATCAAATGTACCATGCTAATCAAAGTTTTAGCAGAAACGGCAGTAAATATTTTATTAACATTACATCTCAGTGTTTAGTCTCTAAATTGGTATCAGCTACACTCAAAAAATAAAAATAAAAATGAAATAAAAACGTTTAGCTGCATGTTTAAACTACACCATCAAAAAAGTTGACTTAACCTAAAATTTTAGGGCAACAAACTTCAGGACAACTCAACTTTCAACCCAATTACAGCACATGACTTGATTAAAGTTGAAGTAAACTCTAAAATGTCCTGAAGTTCGTTGCCTGAAAGTTTTGAGTTGAGTCAATTTTTTTACAGTATAAAATGAGTTCAGAAAAAAACAACACAAATCTTTATGTATTTGTTTTTTTGTGAGACAACTTAATTGTTTTATGTTCAATCCACTTAGATTTGTAAAAACGATAAAGATAACTTAATATGTGTTGGGACTACATGAAGGAATTGTGTGGAACCCAGTATTTTTTTTTACAGTGTATGAAACCTAAACTTGGTAAAAAAATTATAATGGTCAAATGCATCATGCACACTGTAAAAAGTTAAAGCTAGTAAACCAGTTGCCATAAAAGCAACAATTTGACTTTGCAAAAATAATAGGGGGTAAATTCATTGTACCTTGGATTTGTTAAGTTGACTTCATTTTTATAATTATGCAATTTCTACTTACTTTTTAAAATAAAAGTAAACTAATCACTTTTTTCAATACCCCTTTATTATATTTGTTTTTTGTTTTTCAGCTTTTTCTGTATCTAGCAAAATGACATGTAGTAAAATAAATCTGCTCTTCCAGACTTCAGTGTGTCTTCTAAATTTAATACAGGCTATAATTGTAGATTTTATAGACTTAATGAAGCACCAAATATGAAGTATTGCAATAATTTTTGGAAAACAGACGTGCTAAAATAGTCTGATAAACATAATTATAAAATGAAGTCAACTTAACAGTTCCAGGTTACAATGAATTTACTTACATTATCTTTGTGAAGTCAACTTGTTGCTTTTAAGGCAATTGGTTTACTCGCTTTAAGTAACTAATCACTTTTTACAGTGTAACAGTCTTTTCCCAAAACTTAGTTACTGAAAATGTTGTAATAAATCTAAATTCATATTCTGCAAATAAATAAACAAATTCATGTTCTGATGCGAACATTTACTATTTTCTTTATTAAATTAAAAAAAAACTACATTATATGTAATGATTTACTAATTAAGCTAAATGGTTGGCAAACGATTGATGTGGGCTGACTTTAAACAAACAAATTACATCTAGTCATGTTCAAGTTAATTACTTTGTTTAAATTCAGCCCGGATAAATTGTTTGCAAACACATTAAAAAGGGAGTAAATCCAATGAATATTTTTTCCAGTGTAGCCTACTAAAACTATTCCACAACAAATATTACAAATAAGCCTGTGTGATGCATTGTTAAACGTTTGGCCATAAGCAACAGGAACAATGGCACGTAGCGGAGCAGCTGAACTCACCTGGTCGGACTCGCACTCCCGCGCGCAGGTGCTCATGGCGTCCACCCACAGGTTCGGGTTCATCTCGTTCGGACACATTCCCGCATGAGAATACACCACTTTGGACAGAGTCATTGGCATCGCTCGCGCGCGCAAATGCAAGCGCGAGACACAGAAAAGCTGTCCCAACAAAAACCAGATCCATCTGGGAAACAGCATCCACCACATATCCACGCGAGTAAAAGTCCTTTCGGAAAAGAGGAAGCGATCCCCAGGGGTGAAAAAGTTCAGCAGTCAGCCCCAAAATCAACGCGTAAAAAGGGCAGAAGTGGCTAAAGTGTGCTCCGGTCAAGAGGTTTGAGGAGTGGAGGAGAGCCCGATGCGCGGGGGGCGGTTAGCGGCGCTGCCGGATTAGAGGCTGCGGGTTTAACTCGGTTACAAAACATTTCATATACTTGAAAGTAAAGCGCTTTTTTTGCAGACGTTAAGGCTACAGTGAGCTCTCGAGCGTGTCTGACATTTAAGATTCAGAGAGGCACCTGCGTGACGCACGACAACACCTTTTAACTCTTAGCCGCCCAATGAGAAGTGGCGGGCTGTGTTCGGAATGGACAACTGGTGCCCTGCACACTGCGCAGTGGACACTGAAACTACACATTATTCATTGTGCGTGAATAACTATGCAGGGCGCAAAAATAAACTTTAATAATGCTTTAAGTCAAGAACTAATGATCACACTTTTAGAAAATTTTCGCCGTTAATAAAGCATGCATTATCTATGACTACTCTGTTAAAATAGTTGGGTTAAAAATACCCCAACATTTAACCCAACCTATAGGTTATTATAGCACCTTCCCAACTATGGGTTATTTTATCCAATGTATTGGGTTATTTTGATTAAATAATTTTTTTTCCCATTCTGGTATTACTATTTTTACTAGTACTGCTATTAGTTTTATAATTATGATTGTATAAATAAATAAATAACATACAGTATTCAAAAATATTGAAAATGCTTTTTTACCATTAAAATTTCCAGACACTTTTGTTAAAATAAATCAAGAATCACAAACAATAAAGAAACAGAACAAAGTACAGACAGATCTAAATGTGCAAGCAGAAAATGATGTGTTGATGGAGCAGAATATGGAGCTATATGCTGTATCCTGTCCAGCAGCTGCAGCATGCTTCGCTCAGTGTCCACAGTGTACAATACATTTGGTACAACCACATCCATACATACGCTTCTAAAAGATGGTGAAACGGATATAAAAACATGACACGGAGAGGTTATTTGAAAAAAAAAAAAGTTTAAAAAAAAGCAACAACAATATTATTGCGTTAGAGCTTAAACTTTACAGTGCTAAAACAACATTGCACACGCATATTAATACAACTGTTTTGTGTCAGTTAAATCAGTCGACTGTTGAAATTAAAAAATAATTTAACCCAACTGGTTAAGTTATTAAAATAATAACCAAATGAAGGTTAAAAAAATAACTCAATAAAGCACCAAATATTTAACTCAACTGGTTGGGTTATTAATAAATAACCTAATAAAGGTTAAAAATAAGCAAACAAAGCACCAAATATGTTTAACTCAACTATTGGGTTAAATAAATAACTCAACGTTTTCAGTAATCAAAGGTTTTTGAAGCTTCTAAAGCATAGGTCTCAAACTGGATTCCTGGAGGGCCGCAGCTCTGCACAGTTTTGCTCAAACACAGCTGATCCAACTAATCAAGGTGTTTAAGACTACTAGAGACTATTACGCAGGTGTAAGTTGGAGGTGGTTGGAGCTGAACTAAGCAGAGCTTTGGCCCTCCAGGAATTGGGTTTGAGACCCTTGTTCTAAAAGTAAATAAATCCGTCATAAAACGAAGCTATACTGAATCATTTCATAATGGATATTGTTCCTAGAATTACATACCTGGCAACCCAAAAGTTGCTGCTAGTGAATGAATAAAACTGAACATTTTAGCTGACTATAAAGAAGAGGCTGTGGATTACCCTTCTCACAAAGTAATTAGAAAAGCTATTTAAATATGTTTTAATGATATAGTTAGTAATTGATTACTTGTTTGAAGTAATTTACCCATCGCCTGTCTTTATACTGACTAAAAAAAGGAATATTTTCTGCCAAAAAAAAAAAAAAATCTTAGAGTTTCAGAAAAGTAATATCTTTATTTAATCATCTAATAAACAAACAAACAAATGAAAAGATTTTGCTGCTTATTTAAAGAATTATTTAAATGAGCTAAAACAACACAATTCTTGAGTTGTTTGGGGGGAAACACCATTGGTTTATGTTTAGTTAAAATTTGAAGAGTTCAGATGCAAAAATCTGAAATTTCTATTGAAAATGAACATCTTTGCTTTGTCTAAGTTGACATATTTCACTTTAAAGACCAGGAAAATGACTTTACCAATAAAGTGAAATCACTGAACATACACGCAGGATCCTGATAAAAACGCTCATTTTAGAGGAGAATTTCAGATGGCATTTAGAGGTTTTTGCATCTGAACTCTTCATTTGTAAAAACAATTAAGTTAACTTTACAGATTTGCATCAGGACATGTTTTTACAGTGTGAGCGACTGCATCACGTGGCTTTTAACTGTATGTGAACGTGACTTTTATAAGCCTCATTAAAAGTTTCAAGTGGCGTAAAATAATAGCAATAAAACCACCGCCGCTAGGAACATATTCAGCAGAAGTTAATTTGCGTCCCATCTGACTCTGGCAGACATGGGAAAGTTACCTCCAGCTGTGCGGTACAGGCTAGAGGTCGAGTGCTTCAAACATACATAAAGAGCAGAAAACAGCAGACGTCAGATGAAGCTCGCAGTCTAGAGCATCATCAGCAAGGCAGATAAACACTAGAAGAGTTACAGATGACTAGAGATTAAACCATTAAAACTGTAAACTGTATAAAGCAAGTCGTTGACTTTACTTGAATTGAGGAAATTCATCACTTGGAACTGTTAAGTTGACCTAAATTTTACACTGTAGGAAATGCTGGCTTATTTAAACCAGTGTTCATTTTAATCTTAGTCTTTTGGCTAAAATTCCATTTTAGTTTTAGTCATATAGTCTTCTGAATCATTTTACTTTTAGTCGACTAAATTTCATAAGATGTTCTATTATATATATATATAGTAATCTACTCTATTACTATATTTGGTTTAAGTGTAATTTAATTAAAATATTGTATACATTTATTTATACAAAATATTCTTACATAAAATTAAATAAAACCGTCTAATATAAGTGTTATTATAAATATGGAATAAAGCTTTTTACTTGAAGACCAGAAATTAGATATGCAATGCTTATTTAAATCATAAGTAATATGTAAAATTATGTGTCGGCAAAAACAGTAGACTACTGAAAATGCAGGAATTTCTCTTAGCTGTTGCCATTTCATTATAAATAGATAAATCAAACAGAGGCCCTTATGGATGATTATACAACCGCATCCCACGTCTACTGAGGACCCATTACTTTTCAAATGTGTGTGTGTGTGTGTGTTTGCATCATGCATCACACACCAAGATTAATTCAAGATTAGATATTTACCAAAATACATCCCAGAATCACATTCTCCTCTCATTTTTTATAGTAAATGAAAATGTCAGTATATTTTTATTATAGTTGTCGACATCATCACTTAAGTAGAAACTAGTTTGTCACGAAAATCACAACAAAACATTTTCATCGATTAAATTAAAAAATGATTTAAACCCAAATTGGACTAAAATATGGACTAACCCAAACATTAGGTTACATTTGGTTCTATTCATTTAATTTTAAAATTAAACCAAGCAGTTTGTTTAATCTGCATTACACTCAAAATCAGGTAAAAAAAAAACTAGCTTTTTTTAGAGTGTATAATCATGTACTTAGTTCATTTATATGGCAACAAGTTTACTCCATTTTTAAAGTAAAGTTAACTCGTTGCTTTTACAGATCTATTCATTCATTCATTCATTCATTCATTCATTTTCTTTTTGACTTAGTCCCTTTATTAATAATTTGGGGTCGCCACAGCAGAATGAACTGCCAACTTATCCAGCATATGTTTTTACGCTGTGGATGCCTTTCTAGCTGCATCTTATCCATGCCAGCACGGGATGAACATGGAAACTAGCAAGTAATATTAGTTTACACTAAATAAATACTGGGATGTTTTCACCCAGTGCCGAGTGAAATAGGGACAAATACAATAGTTGGGTTAAAAAATATAATTTCAAATTTAATTTTAATTGTCCGACCCAGCATTTGGTTAAAACAGCAGTATTATTAGAGTATAAATTACTTTAACTTACATTTTTGAAACATTCATTCATTTTCTTTTCGGCTTAGCCCCTTTATTAATCTAGGGTCGCCACAGCAGTATGAACCGCCAACTTATCCACCATTTGTTTTACGCAGCGGATGCCCTTCCAGCTGCAACCCATCACGGGGAAACATCCATACACACTCATTCACACACTATAGACAACTTAGCCAATCCAATTTACCTGTACTGCATGTCTTTCGACTTGTAAGGAAAACCCCAAAGGAAACCCATGCGAACACGGGGAGAACATGCAAACTCCACACAGAAATGCCAACTGATCCAGCCGAGGCTCGAACCAGTGACCTTTTTGCTGTGAGAAGAACGTGCTATCCACTGCGCCTCCGTGCAGCCTTTTTGAAAAATTTTTAACTCATTTTAATTAGTAAAATGAACGAAAATATGCTGTCATGACTTTTTGATCATATATATCATTTTACTGTCTGAGAAAGCATCCATACAATGCATAAATGCTTGTTTTGCTTAGTTTTTTGTCGGTTTTCCTACTACAAATATCTAAAAATTCTTAAATTAAGAAGCATTTTCTAGACAAGCAAAAAAATATGATCTTGTTTTAAGAAATATTATGTCAAAACGAAGTGTTTTTTTCCTAAAACAAGTAAAATAATCTGCCAATGCGGTAAACAAAATAATATGGTCATACGTTAATTACTAAAAACAAGATTTATTTTGTAGTTTTAAGCGAAAACACTTCATTTTGACATAATGTCTTAAAACAAGACAATACGTTTTGCTTGTCTAGAAAAATGCTTATTAATTTAAGACTTTTTAGATATTTGGACTAGAAATGAGACAAACTCTAAGTAACAAAAGCATTATTTTTTGCAGTGTAGTACATTATTACTTTCCTATTTGTTCACAAGCGATTATGAATGAACAAGTTTATCCAAAACAGTTTGACTTTGAAAACGACACACAACATGACAGAAAGGAGCGGCTGCTTCTGCTTTATTTCTGCGCAAACACGCAGCGCCTGCACTAACTCAATGCACTCCAATAGAGCAGCGATTAAACGGAGCTTCCACTCCAGATCAATCTTTTTGTGTGAACTTATGAGCGTTCTGAAAGGTATTAGCGCTGTTTGTGTGCCTGGGCTTCCCACCCACAGAGAGGGTCATAAAAAACAACACACATGTTATAACCTCTCGTGAGCTCATTATATCGTCTTACTGGCACACAAAAGAGCAACACTCATGCAGCCAAGCTTTGTTTTAAAGCAAACTACACACACACACACACACACTGCAAGGTCACCATCCATTCTCCACACAGCAGGTTGTTCTTATGCAAGAGGTACAGAATGTGTGTTTCTACATCTGGACGACACATGGGATCTGTTTGCATTTTTAAAAAGTGCTCTGTACACATATTTCCCCCCTTACTGTGTTAAGGGCAATATATCCAATATATTAATAATGTTTGCACACACACACTCACATGCATAC